TTTGAAATGCGAGTCTTTATAAAGGAAATCGCAGGTACGCAACATTTCACTACATAGAGAATACTGTTTATTATTCCTGGTGCCTACAATATGGCAGGTGTCATAGTTTTCCGGTATGTGAATGATTTAATGCGTACAAAAATGTGGGCATTATGTGGTTGCAGAGGGGCAAACGATTGTGGCCTTGAGGGCAGGGCTGACACCCAGTCAATAAACGTAAAACTGACAATGTCATATGTTGACAGTGTATTCATATGAAAGAAATTACAAGGCCGGTAGTTTTCCACAGAAAAGGTGGTAACCTTACCTGAGGTATACCTGTCTGAAATCCAGTATTTATTATTATTATTTACGACCCTATTTGCTTAAAGGAAATCTATGAGGTGAGTCATTTCCACTCATCCTCCTAGTTAGAGCCGACCTGTGACAAAGAAGCTGTCACAGGTGGGCTCTATCGATCGGGAAGTGAGCAGAAACATGCCACCGATCCGCTCATTTCTCGATCGTCTCCCTGCAGTTACAGGTGACTGCCCGCAGGGATTCCCCCCACCCCTCTCCGATCCTCCAGTGCTGAGTGGAGGAATGGATGGCGGAGGGGGCAGGTACAGCTGGCTCTGCCTCTAGATAGGCAGAGGGGGGCGCTCTGGTAGAATGGTAAGTGCGTGGGGGAGTTGCCAGAGAGAGGGGGTGGGGTGCTCTGGTAGGATGGTGAGAGCAATGGAAAGGGGTGCTGTACTGACAGAGTGGTGAGACTGGCAGTATGCCAGCTCCAGTAAAGTGGTAAGAGTAATGGGGAGGCTCTGCACTTCCCAAATCTCTACCAACACTGCTTCCAATCCATACCCGGCTTCATTGTCATAGAGATTCAAAATCTTCCTCCCGCTACTAAATACACTTACTTCTGCCTGCGCTCTTCAGGGGATTTTCCCTAATGTCATGTTCTCTCTGACACTAGTCAGACAGGAAGCTGATTGTTGATAGAGGTACTTATCCTTCTCTACTCTTTTCATAAAAAATTTAAAAAAAAAATAGTTTTTGCTAGAGTTGGGCTTTAAAAAGAACAATAAAACAAACTTTACATGGAAAAACTCTATTCTTGTGCTGCCCCATGCCTGGTGAGACCTTTTGTAGGACACTGGAGGGACAACCTGGGGGAGCTGTCCTGTAGAACGAGGGTCATCTGGTAACTATGCATTAAACCCTTTCTATGAGAAAAGAACTGGCCAGGGAACGTTAAACCAAAGACAACTGGTCACTATACCATGTACACCTGTATGGAGCCGACCTCCTAACAAGAAAGAGGGTCACCTTTAGTACAAAGTAAGTTGACAAAGAATGTACCCCCAGTTACACAAACATAAAAACGCACAACTCGTGGTTCAGAATCCCCTCGTTGGAGCACACCCTAATGCTGGGGGTCATATTTTTTGTCACTGACGCCAATGCAGGGGGTTATTATTTTCCGGTAAGGAGTGCAACAAGAACCGTGACATATTATTGTAACTTACCACCAATGCTGGGGGTTATTGTTGTCACTGACACTAATGCTGGGGGTTGTTATTGTCACTGACACCAATGCTGGGGGTTATTATTGTCAACGACGCCAATGCTTGGGGTTATTATTGTCACTGACACTAATGCTGGGGGTTATTATTGTTGTCACTGACACCAGCGCTAGGAATTATTATTGCGGTCACTGACGCCAATGCTGGGAGTTATTATTGTGATCACTGACGCCAATGCTGGGGGTTATTATTATGATCATCACTGACACCAATGCTGGGGGTTATTATTGTGGTCACTGACGCCAATGCTGGGGGTTATTGTGATCACTGACACCAATGCTAGGGGTTATTATTATGATCACTGACGCCAAAGCTGGGGGTTATTATTATGATCATCACTGACACCAATGCTGGGGGTTATTATTGTGATCACTGACACCAATGCTGGGGGTTATTATTGCGGTCACTGACGCCAATGCTGGGGGTTATTGTGATCACTGACACCAATGCTAGGGGTTATTATTATGATCACTGACGCCAAAGCTGGGGGTTATTATTATGATCATCACTGACACCAATGCTGGGGGTTATTATTGTGATCACTGACACCAATGCTGGGGGTTATTATTGCGGTCACTGACGCCAATGCTGGGGGTTATTGTGATCACTGACACCAATGCTAGGGGTTATTATTATGATCACTGACGCCAAAGCTGGGGGTTATTATTATGATCATCACTGACACCAATGCTGGGGGTTATTATTGTGATCACTGACACCAATGCTGGGGGTTATTATTGCGGTCACTGACGCCAATGCTGGGGGTTATTGTGATCACTGACACCAATGCTAGGGGTTATTATTATGATCACTGACGCCAAAGCTGGGGGTTATTATTATGATCATCACTGACACCAATGCTGGGGGTTATTATTGTGATCACTGACACCAATGCTGGGGGTTATTATTGTGATCACTGACACCAATGCTGGGGGTTATTATTGTGATCGACACCAGCGCTAGGAATTATTATTGCGGTCACTGACGCCAATGCTGGGAGTTATTATTGTGATCATCACTGACACCAATGCTGAGGGATATTATTATGATCACTGACACCAATGCTGGGGGTTATTATTGTGATCACTAACACCAATGCTGGGGGTTATTATGATCACTGACACCAATGCTGGGGGTTATTATTATGATCACTAACACCAATGCTGGGGGTTATTAATGTGATCACTGACACCAATGCTGGGGGTTATTATTGTGATCACTAACACCAATGCTGGGGGTTATTATGATCACTGACACCAATGCTGGGGGTTATTATTATGATCACTAACACCAATGCTGGGGGTTATTAATGTGATCACTGACACCAATGCTGGGGGTTATTATTGTGATCACTGACACCAATGCTGGGGGTTATTATTGTGATCACTAACACCAATGCTGGGGGTTATTATGATCACTGACACCAATGCTGGGGGTTATTATTATGATCACTAACACCAATGCTGGGGGTTATTAATGTGATCACTGACACCAATGCTGGGGGTTATTATTGTGATCACTGACACCAGTGCTGGGGGTTATTATTGTGATCACTGACACCGATGCTGGGGGTTATTATTGTGATCACTGACACCAATGCTGGGGGTTAATATTATTCACCTTTCTCTTCAGCATGTGCTGCAAAGGAGTAGAGGTATGTTACAGCCCGTTCATTATGGATGGGTTCAATGCATGAAAATGTGCTGCTATTGTGCGTCCCTCTCAACTCATGCCTAATAAACTGGAGGGGGGCATTAAATGACCTTGTCCCGACACTGATTGGAGTGACCTGGCCACGGAGGTCAGCCGCTTCTCTAGAAGTCCCTGTTCACACTTAGGCGTTTTGTCGCTCAAAAATAAGTGCAACAAAACTCTCACCACAAAAAATTCCCATTCATTTCAAGGCCACCGTTCACACCTGAGCGCTCTGCCGCAAGCAGTAAAACACCGAACACTGGAAAAAGTACATGAGCTTCTTTTTTGGCAGATTAAAGTGTTTGGCTCCATAGACAAAGGAAACGACTGGAAATGCGCAACACAAACATTTTGTTTTGCACATTTTTGTGTGCATTTTGTCCATTTACTTTAAAATCTGCCAGATGAAATGCACAGTGGCATCAAGGAGGAGGGGGTGGCAGCCTGCACCAGTTGACACCATTAGAGGGGATGACAACATAATGACTGACAGTCATTTTGGTATTATCCCCACTGAAAATTTGGGCACTCCATCATGGACCGAGAGCTTGACAGTTGCAAGAGAGAGGAGGGAACCTGGCAGCATACCTTATCCTGCAGCATAAATGTCACAATGGCTGCCGGCTGTGAAGTGCATATGATGTCATGATGCACATGCATCATGAGGTCACATGTATATGTAATGACGTGCGCATGGGTGACACTTGGCAGCCGCACCAGGTGACACCCAACTTGGTGACGCCTCTGAAAATGCACAACTTAATATGCATGCAAAAAAACACACGCTAGACAAAAATGCTGACGCCTAGGTGTGCATGTGGGCTTAGATCAGTGCTGTCTCACACAGGATTCTGCTCAGCGGTCAGAGGGAGATGAGCCTCTATTAGGCACAGCACGGTACTGTTTCCTTGCAGTATTTTAATGTGGATTTAGCAGTGACTGATTATCTCTGGAGGGGAAGCTGGCATTTCTATCTTTATACATTATATATGTGGGCACAGTTTTATACATTGTATATGAGGGCACAGTATAGGTGGTTCTAGTTCTATAAAGCAGACATTAGATCAGTGCTGTCACACTCTGCGCCTAGCTTACACAGAAGTCTGCACTCTGCTCTGCCAACTGCCAAGCAGCGTTCTAAACCTCCTCTATATATGTTCTTTTACATGCTTTACGGTACGCCTTCGATACGCCTCTACTAATCACGTGACAGTGAGCAACATGGCGGCGTCCAGGATGGTAGGTGACTTTTTAGAGTTCTGGCTGTGAAGGCTGTGTCGGTTATAGGGGGGAGAAGCTCGTATGTGTGATGAATTATCCTCTCACGTGTACGGCTCACAGTGAAGATAATGCATAGTCGAGGGTCCTATAGTATGAGTAAAGTGCGGTGTGTGACATGCGGGCTTTTTGACAGCGCTATAGCTATACCGGTTATTTAGAATAGCTGCGTCCTGGAATGTTTCCCTCCGCTGCAGCATGCAGTGGTCAGAGGGAGATGAGCCTCTATTAGACGCAGCATGTGGCTGTAGCATAGACTGAGTAACATCCAGCAGACATTTACATTTATATGCATTATATATGTGGCCACAGTTTAAGTGGGTCAGATTGTGACGCATTGATGTAAATGGGCAAAATGCATGCAAAAACAATTGTAATGCGCATTTACAAGCGTTTCCTATTGACTGCGTGCAGACAAAACATGCTGTAATCTGCCAAAAAGAAACTCCTGTACTTTTTGCTTATTGCCACAAAACGCTCAGGTGTGAACAGGGGCCATAAGAATGAATGGGATGTTTTTTTTTGTGAAGCATTTTGACGTGCTTATTCAGCTGCGACAACACGCTCAGTGTGAACCAGGCCTTAGGGTAGAGGTAGTCAGACTTTGATCCTCCAGCCGTGGTGAAACTACAAATCCCATCATGTATCTGTCTCTGGAAGGCATGTGTGTGGTTGTCAGAGTCTTGCAGTGCCTTGTGGGACTTGAAGTTCCACAATATCTGGAGGGCCAAAGCTTGGTTACCCCTGCGTTATGGGATCACAGTGCCTGAAGGAGGGTTTAGCGATCACACGACTGTCCCAGCATTAAACTGCTATGTATATCCCATCACAATCCTGACTGAAGGATCCCAAATGGAAGGATGGCGAGTGCCGGAGTGATGAGCAGATGGCGCAACGGTAAGAGCAATAAAAAGAAGAATCAGCGGCACTCCGACAGTGAAGCTGTACGACTTTTTATTGGTGCATGTTCACGTCATCACAAAGCAAACATGTCAATAAAAAGACGTGCCGCTGATTCTTCTTTTCATTGCCTGTCCCAGAGGTCACACCATTGGGAGGCCGCCATATGTGGACCAGGAGCTGTCAGTGAGAGCAGTGGAAGCATGCTAGTAAGTGCGCTTTCAGAACAGCAGAGGTGAGTGACGCACTTTAGGGCCCACCTGCCATGCTGCCACATATATGCGTTGCACCAATGGAAGCAGGTTAAAGTCACCCTGTCAATGTTACTCATAGCACCACCTGTTAAACAAAAATAAATAAATAGAAAAAACATATAGTATGAGTTACTATGTACACAATTATGAATGAACAGGAAGTGATGTAGATCACTTCCTATTCATTCATAACTGGTACATAGTAACTCACACTATGTCCAGTTATTTACAAACAGTCACCAATCACTGATTACTGACTGCTTGTTCCGTTCTCCATCCTGACTACCTGTTACAGGAAGGTGAGCCAGCGGTTCGGGAGGAGAGCTTGGTCTATTTTGACAGCTGGCTCCTCCCCCTCACTGACAGTTTGACTTCCTGTGACAGCTATCTCCGCCCCCACACCACTCTCCATCCTGATCTGTTACAGGAGACTTAGCGGGCGGTGTGAGAAGAGAGCCCGGCCAGTGGTGACATAGCTATCTTCCCCCGCCCCTCTCGGCCTCCTGACAGTTTCTCTCCTCATTGCTGGACGCTGCGCTGTCTCAGAGGGGACACAGAGCAGCGCCCAGCAAGGAGGAGAGAAACCAGGAATGCACCACAAATTCGGCCGAAACATGGTACTTTCGATATTTGCCCTAAGTACCATTTAGTTAGGATATGTTTCGGTGCATTACTACTTCCCAGCCAATGGCCAATGATCAGCTGCCACATCGCTCCCCAGGCACTGCATTCATGTTACCGTCAAATGCCCCCCCCCCACTCAACAGCTGTGGTTCCTCCGCTGGGCTCGTATGTCCCATAGTCATTCACAAGCTGGCAGGAGCAGCAGGCATTCAACTTACTGGAAAGGTAAATATATAAACACTACTGTTATAAGTGACCTTGTGGTGACAGGGCCCCTTTAAAGTGTTATTTACTCAATGTGAATAAACAATACTTCATCCGGGGCGGGCTCTCTCCTTTTTGTCTTTTTGTTTCTATGGGTGTGAGTTTCCCTGATTTGTCTGAAGAGCAGCACCCTGTGGTTAGAACATTTCCGGAGAAGCTTTCATAGGCTGACACCAGCGCCGGAGGAGGTTTACCCCACATTATTATCTTATTCTATGTGAATGGGAACAAGTAACAATGAAATAACTAGGTGTTAACCCAATTTGGCTGCGAAAGTGGAAATACATTTTAACTGTTTCGCTGCCACCGATGTATGTCATAGGACGTTCCTGTCATCACTGATATGCTATCACATAGGGGGCTTGTAAGCCCCCCTACATGACAGCAATTAAGAAAGTGAAAATAAAAAAAAAGTTTAACAAAAATATTAAATAAAATAAATGTCAAAATAATAAAAAAAAAAACGGTTTTAAAGTCTCCTGCCCCCGTGCATTACCATAAACACGTATCAGGTGCGCGTACAAAAACAATGATCGCCCTACACACGTTGGGTATCGCCACGAACGCCAGAGTGAGAGCAATAATTCTACAGCCAATATTCATGAATATCTCTAAACTGATGGCCTGTAGGGGCTTGCAAAGCGTCGCCTATGGACAATTTGGGGTACCGTATTTTGTCTCCGTTTCTCGGACGCACACAATTGTTAACCTTGCTTTTAGTGCGTTGGGGTGCATGGTGTCTGAAACTCTCGTCGTCTTTTGTGTCCACAGTGACTTCTAAGGTTGAAATAATTTCTAATGCTAAAATGTTCTAACAGTTGATAGCTCAGCTCTACAATATCGGAGATGGACATAAAACCAATATAAGGGAAAAAAAGCTTTGTGCATTAGGTTGTTGGCGCGCGGCTGTGCTGGAATTATTCCTTTTTCCTGCTTTTGAAATCAATACCATAAAAAGGTGTAAATGTCTCTGTGTTTGGGGAATTCCCTTGTGTAGACATATCAAATGGAATATTAATGGAGCTTGGCGTATCCACTCCCGGCAACGCGAGGTGTGATCAGAAAACTGATCCAGCAGACAAAGGCCTACTGTCCCAGTGCATCATGTTCTCCTTGTAGAAAATGCTTATTATTATACAGGATTCATATGGCACTGATAGTTTGTGCAGCATTTTACAATATAAATGGAGCGAGTACAGTTACATTACAATTCAAGACAAAATGGTTAGAAGGACCCTGCTCCTGAGAGCTTACAATCTAAAAGGGAGGGGCAAGTGATACATGAGGTGATGGCTGTGTGGGGAGGAGTTGTTTGGGAAAGTGATTGTGCAGTTGTTAGGTAGAGGCAAGATAGGCTTCCCTGAAGAGAGTTTTCAGGGCTTGCATAAAGGCGGACAGAGTAGGAGATAGCCGGACATATTGGTGTAGGGAGTTCCAGAGGATGGGAGAGATTCTGGAGAAGTCCTGGAGGCAAGTATGTACACATAAACCAGAAGAGCCAGTGCATGCAAAACTGATATTGACAGGTGGAGCTTAGTTTCCTATATGTCTTGGAAACTCGGCAAGACCTCTGACATAATTCCTGACGGTTTCAGTCCAGTTGTGAGTTTGGGTGTCCTGCCCACCTCTCTGTGTTTCAGCTCCACCTTTTGCATTCTTTATATACAGTATTAAAAGTTAGAAAAAAATCGCTGTTTCGGGTGGCTGTACCTGTACGTCCTGAAATCTCCTGTGTGCGTGCGCCCTCCACGCACACAAGCTGCCGCTCCCGCTGTCATTAGACAGCAGAAAGAATCAGCTTCATGCACAGAGCCAATCGGACCGGCCCTGTGCCTTGTGATCACTGTGATTGGGTATCAGAGTGATCACATGGCAATGTTTACTAGGGATGCACCGATACCATTTTTTTCCGGTATCGACTAAGAGTGCCGATATATTATTTTTTGGTACTCGCCAAATACCGATATTGGAAGTCCCATTAATGAAGCTGGGCGGCGAGTAATGACTCGCTACCTGGCTTCCTGATAAGTCGGAACCCCGGGCGGCGTGTAGCGACTTGACGACCATCTTCCCGATTAGCCGCAAAGCCGTCTCCATACTCCCTCATGACCAGGTTACATGCCCCCTGGCTTCCTGATTGGCCGGGAAGCCAGCTCCATGCTTCCTCGTCACCAAGTGACGAGGAAGCATGCAGCCAGCTATCCGGCCAATCAGGAAGCCTGGGGACGAGTCATGAGTAATTACCTGCCCGCCAGGCTTCCTGATTAGCTGGGAAGCCAGCTCCATGCTCCCTGGTGAACAGGGAGCATGGAGCCGGCTTCCCAGCCAATCAGGAAGCCTGGCAGTGTGTAATGACTCACCCAGCTTCCTGATACCAGAAGTTCCGATATCGGGATAATCATTGGGAGCATTTGGGCAAGTATGAGTACATGCCGAAATACTAGTATCGGTATGTCCCTAATGCTTACATTGCAAAGCCCTCCCCATCCATTTACAACACAGACATGGTAGAATAGGGGTCATTCATTCACTAGTTCCTAGTTAAAACAAGCTGCAGCAGCATTAAAAAAATTATACACTGAAGGAAAATGTTTAACCTCTTCACCCCCTCTCCTCTACAGCATATGTCAGCTCCATTCTATCTCTGCCCTGATCTTTACATTAACCACTTCACCTCTCTTATCTTGCACATTAACCCCTTTATCTCTGCTTCCCTCTGTGTATGACCTGTACATTTTAATGTATCTCGTACACCATTAGCAAGCTCCATGTTGTATCCCCCTCAACACCTCAACATGTTTTGTCATGTTCAAAAAATTGTGGTAAAAAGCAGATCACCTTGGGGTGTCTACTTTGCAAAAAGGGGTCACTCCGGAGGTTTCATAATGTCCTGGAATTTTAGTTTGCTATGTTTTATGAGAAAAAGTAAAGGAAACGTTTTTTTTCTCTTCTGTATATAGTAAAAAAAAAAAAAAAGCGGTTATTTAAATCCCACCAAAAGAAATCTCCATCTGTCTCAGAAAATGATACAAAATGAAGTTGGGCACAGTGTTGTATGACAGTCAAACTTACACAGCGCTTAAAAATGGCCTGGTAATGACCGGGGTTTAACATGCCGCTCCTGAGGTTGGTAAATAAGCCCTCTTAACACTTCTTTTATTCTGAACCAGTTTAGGACTATCTTTGACCGTCTCAGTTTGCCATCAGCCTCGGTCCCAGACCATAAGATTCTACGTTTCCTGGGGAAGTATTTCGTCGATTTAGATAACTATAAGGCATGGATGACGAAACGGAATCAGTTGCGAGTGAAAAAGATAAATAAGTGAGTAGCCCAGCTTATTTCGCCCCACCTTTAGGAGGTATTTTATTACGCCGATGCATACAACAGATTTCTTTTTTTAATCAGATAGTATTTATGGACATTGTTTGGTTTTAAGCTGGTACAAAAAAACATATGTAAAGAGCAAAAACATCCAAAACCATAGAAATACAGAAATAAACATAAAAGAAATAAGAACAAAACATAGTGAACCCCTACCACAGGGATATATATATATATATATCTCTATGTTTAATAAAAACGAAAATAAAAAAAAGGGAAAGGGTGTTGATGTAGTCCCTACACAGGATACACACAGGCAAACAGGGTTGTATGGCAACCACGAGAGAGGAATGGGGTGAGGGCTGGCAGCATTCAGGAGGAAGATCAAGTAGGCATCCCAACAGGCCGAAAAGATAACCATTTGGACCATATTGAGTAAAAAGTGTGTACTGAGCCCCTGGACTGATACCCAATGCGTTCGAACTCTATAATTCTATCAAGTTCTATCATCCAATTAGAGACCGTAGGAGGGAACGGTGAGATCCACTTGCGTACAATGAAACGGGTGGTGGTAAATAGTGCTCGTCTAAGAGCCAACATTAGAGGGGAATCAAAATGTGAATCATCAAAGACACCCAGAAGACATAAAAACGAGGGAGGGAATCAATTGAAACATTAAAAACAGAAGTGAGAGTGCGTACGACCTTTAGCCAATAGCGCACTAGTTTAGGGCAACGCCACAGCAGGTGGATCAGGGATCCCTGGTGGAATCCACACTTAGGACAGAAGGGGTCATCTTGGTATCCTATCCTACATACAACAGATTTCTAGCACTAGGGGCCTAATTAAAACCTTGTTACTATCTGCCACATGTATGAGCCATTGTTCCTACATCCTAAGATGTCATGCAATGTCACATAATAGATGCAGGAAGTGAAGCGCCACGCTAGTTAAAATTGTCCAGATACAACTTCATTCCATTAGGGTCAGGGGACATTCAAGTAGAGTAGCCAATGCATTTGTGGGGGTTCAAAACACACTCCCTTCATCGGTCTTAATAAGAGAAATCCTATATCTTGGCTACAATCCCTGCAGCTTGAAAGCTGTATTGAGTTGTGGTGGGAGTACTTCAGGCATGTCAGCTGCTGATTTCCCTCATTAAGCCCTGATAAAGGGGGGGGGGGGGGTTTTGGACCACCCCCAAAACACGTTGGCTACTTTTCTTGAATGTCCCCTGACCCTAATGGAACAAAGCTGTATCTGGACTATTTTAGTTGGGTTCGTGCTTCAATTCCTACATCTTCTGTGTTCACTATCGAGCCAAGGATATTGTGGAGATCCTTTGGCTTGTGGAAGCTGCCTACCTATTAGCCAGATCACACATATTTATATCACTTTACCACTACTGGATGAGAAAACACCAATAGAATAACCACACAGGTCCAGTGCTTCCTTTCTACTTCCAAATATGTGAGGTCATAAGTCTGAGATTTCCAATCTCAGTGCCCCGTCCCCCTACATTCTGGCCATCCCGATTCTTCCCTTGTCTCCGCTATAGGACCCCATTGCTTCCTCCATCTAAGAGCCTTTGCCTTACAGATTTGGTCCATTTCAATGGCGGAAAAAGGAATAGAAACAGTGGCTGCTGGGACTTTTGGCCATGTTTTTATCACAGAACAGAAGTCATCTTGTTTAGCTCATAAAGTACTTCATTGTACAATTTATCCTTTACAACAGTGGGGAATGGGAGAAAGATTCCCTTTGAATATAAGAGTTCTCAGTTGCTTGTGTTTGCTTATATATGTGGAAGCCGTGTACCACTTTCAAGCTATCTCCCTGCTGGACAAACATTGAGACACAAAGTGTAATGCAATGACTGAACTGGGGAACAATGTTATGTAAAGGTCACTACAGACTCACATAAAGCAGCATAAGGCTTCCAATGTGTGTAGAAATACTGGTAGCCCAGTAAAGTATTTATTGAAAGCTGATATGGAGTCGCTGTTGGTAGCCCATACTATTGCTCTGCAGCATGTGTTTTTAGGTCTGTTCAAAGGGGCCCTAAGAATCATTCTAGTACAGTATAGGCAAAGTGTAAAATGTATGTAAAAGGCCTGTATATTCATTGTAGGTTTTACTGTGTACATGGATGAATTTCACATTCACTGCTTTCTTTCTCTTGTTTGCTTTAGACCATTCTCCTACATGGAATATGAGTATGGTAAATCTGCTGCTGTAGCTTACTACACACTGGTACATAAAGGAGGCGTGAGGTATGGATAGTAAACCTGCCGAAGCATTCAGATGAACTACTCTTTCCTTTCTTCCGCTTTAAAGTTTATTTTTGCTAAAGCTAGGTTACCAGACTTGCTGGGATGAATAAATAAAGAGTAATGTGTTGGTCAAATACCTAACTATTGCAGTAAATACTGTCCCAAGCTCCCTACGCTGCTGGCCATGTGACCAAAACCCAATCATTGGCTCACTTGGTCTGCTGCAGAGGAGTTTGAGCCAGAACATATGCTCGCCTACAGCAGTCTTTTGGTCACGCAACCCCAGCACGGGAGGTAGTCTGGAGCCGCATTTTCTCCAGGAATGTAAGGTATTTCAGACTAATCCTGGGGCTTACCCCCCACCCCGAGTAGCTAATCCCCCACTTAGATTAGAAAAAAAAAGGACCAAATGGCCAGCATATTTATGTGACTTGCAGAGTGGGAGAGTCCTGCTTTGGGATTTCCCATTGGCTGTCCCCAGTGGATCACCAATCACAGTGATCACATACTAATGTTTACATTGTTATTGCAACACAGGAAATACTAGTAATCATTATTGGGTAATAAATGAATGGATCAGCAGCAGCTTATCAATTCATTAATTTTCACTGACCGTGGTATCGTAATGTATGTTAACCATTTCACCCCCCTCCTTTCCTCTCCTACACATCTGAGCTCCATTCTGTCACTGATTGTGACCTGTATATTAATGCTTCATCTTCTTTATCCTGCACATTAACCCCTTCATCCTCCCACTGCATGTGACCTGTACTTAAGGGCCTTCACCTCACCTATCTAGTGCACCATTACCAGGTTGCATGTTTTAACCCCTCAGTACCAGCATGTTTCTTCATTTCCCCAAAAATTGTAGCAAAAATTAGATCACCTGATGGCCTGCATCTTTTGAAATAGAAGGTATGATAGCAGGATCAGGAGACATGATATTAGAAGATTTGTATTGTATTTGACTGTTTTCAAAGGTTTTTAATGCATGTATTGGGTGGGGTGGGGGGTTCTACTCAACCATGTTTTTTTCTGGAGCCTTGACTTCCTCTTTGAAGCTTGCCAGCTTCTCCAAATAAAAAGTAGGTGTTTTACTTATGTAGCATAGTTCCTTATGTATTGTGGAAATAACTGGTGTCTCCCTCAGGTTCCATGGTCACCAAGACTGGCTCCGGGTCGCCCAGGGGAAGAATAGCACTGAGTTTTTGAAGTATAAAGATGTCCCAATAGAAAGTGTGGATTTGAGCAATTGTGACGTGACCTGCACTGGCCTTGACCCTATATGTAAGAGGATATTAGAAATGTCTTACCAAATTAAACCACTTGGGAGCTACATGGGTCTTTCAGCTACAACATGGTGAAAAGGTTGTGGAAACCCCTCTAAATTATTAAAGTCAGGTGCTTCCAGTGATGGATATTCTTAAAGCTACAGCACATAAAGACATTTTATACAATTGTGTGCTTCCAAACTTATGGTAACCGTTTGAATGAGGCTATTGTTTTTGCTTGCACAAATCTAGGTCCATAAAGACATTTTTACCAGTTTAGCATGTAAGAAAAGGCACACAGCCCTGACCTCAACCCTATAAAAAAACCTTTGGAATAAATTGGAATGCTGTCTTCAAGCCAGGTCTTCTCATCCAACATCAGTACCTGACCTCACATATGCTCTGTTGGCTGAATGAGCACCAGTTCCCACAGAGACACTCCAAAATCTCGTAGAAAGCCTTCCAGGAAAAGTGGAGGATGGTATGGCCACAAAGAGGAATGGGAGGCAACTCCATATTATTGCCCTTGGTTGAGATGTGCAAATTCATGGGTCAGGTGACCACAAACATTTGCCTGTATTGTATACATTTCATGTGGCTCCTAAATGCCATGCAATAGCAAGAATTCAGTACCTCTCTCTGTAAGCACCTGCTGCCCTGTATGTCTATTACATGTCTGAAGCCGAGGAAGAATATCCTATTTACATCACTTTTTGAGAACATTTTAGAGGAATTCTGAACTGACAGAATTTGGAGGTTGCCGTTGCTGGCATCTCCAACGGATTCAGTACTTTGAGTCACTGACCCAGAACTCGATGATTGAAGACGATGAACTTTTTTTCATCCTAACTGTGTAACCATGCAGCTCAGAAGTTCTGGATTTACGTTGCTGATAGCTAGCAACTACAATTCTCCCACTGGCATCCCTTGCATCTGTCCCTTAAAAGCATTAAAGGAGAACTATGGGGTTAAGGCTTTTCCCTATAGTTCTCCTTAGGGTAACTAGCGTCCTCCCGTCACCCTAAGCTCAGTATACCGCGAGCTACAACTTGCGTTATACTGAGACGCCACAGTATCTCGGTATACTGAGACGCCGCAGCTGAAGCGGATCCCGACAATTATGTCTGGATCCGCCCAGCTGCGTGAGTGACAGCTGGCTCTGCCTATCTAGAGACAGGGCCAGCTGTACCCACCCGTCCGATCCGCCAGTCAGCGCTATAGGAGCGGGGAGGGGGGAATCCAGCCCCTCCCCTGTCACGCAGAGAGCTGTGACAGGATCGAGAGGTGAGCGAACGCCAGTATGTGTTCGCTCACTTCTCGATCTACTGAGCCGACCTGTGACAGTCTCATTGTCACAGGTTGGCTAGAACTATGAGGTGAGTGAAAAGCACTCACCTCATAGTTCTCCTTTAAGGCTGCAGCATGATCACATACAGTATAGCATACAGTGAGGAAAATAATGATTTGATCCCCTGCAGATTTTGTAAGTTTGCCCACTCACAAAGAAATGAAAGGTCTATAATTTCTATTATAGGTGTATTTTAAATGATAGAGACAGAATATCAACCTATAGGAAATTTATGGAGGGAGATGTGTGCAAACCTGGTAACCAACTACAAGAAACGTCTTACCTCTGTGCTTGCCAACAAGGGTTTCTCCACCAAGTACTAAGTCATGTTTTGCTTGGGGATCAAATACTTATTTTGCTCACTGAACTGCAACTCAATTTATAACATTTGTATCATGTGTTTTTTCAGGATTTTTGGTTGATATTCTGTCTCTTAAAATACACCTATGATAAAAATTATAGATCTTTAATTTCTTTGTAAGTGGGCCAACTTACAAAATCTGCAGGGGATCAAATCATTATTTTCCTCACTGTAGGCGTGTTTGGAATGGAGAATCTTTGAAAACTATAGAATGGGGTTGTCTTGGTATACATGTCTTCTGCAGTTTTGTACTTTTATTTGCTTTTGCTAATATTACTTATGTTTGCCTTTAATATTAATTAATACATTCAATGCATCTTATGTCCTCTCATGCACTCTCATGCTATTGTTCTGATCATTATGCTGTACAGTGGAATTGGAACATTTACGTTTCCTGAACCTCAGCCACTGTCCTTACATTGACGACTGGTCTTTAAGCCGCCTGAACGTACTTCATCCTACGTTGGAAGTTCTCATATTGGCGGGATGTCCTCAAATTACAGAGCGAGGGCTGGCCTCCCTTCATCACTTACAGTAAGTGTACAGTAAGAAGTGATACTTTCTATGTCGAGGGCGTATTGAGTAAATTAGTGCAAAGAGCAGTGACCACGTTCAAACAAATCTTCGTTTAATGTAGTCAGAAGAGTTACCGGATGGTTTCTGATTACCGGTTTTACCTTTATTACATTTTTGTTGCTGAATTTGCATTGCTGGTCTTTTCGGGACATTCAAAGAAAAAAAGTCAGCGTTTGTAAAGGATCTTTAGGGTAAATCTGACAAAATTCAATCTGTGGGTGGCCCTGTGGGTAACAACTGCTTATTCAATCGTGCCGGGTGGCATCTTATTAGCCATACAGTGTCTGCAAGCGCTGTTTGGGTATTTAGCAGCCACTGCTCTTGCAGCAGCAGGAGATTCCACTATCCACCCTGTTTAGCGTGGATGAAAGTCTAAGGATTGGATGACTGTAAATGAATCGCTGGCTGATGTAAATCTAAAGCTGGGTATGCACTGTAGGAATTTTGGCCGGTTCCTAATGAACCAGCCGCAATTCGCACAGTGGGTGCTGCTGTCAGCACCCTTCTACCCAGCATTCCTTGATCAGATGATTGAAGGAGCTAGTTGGAAAATTCTTGCCTGAACGGAGCTAGCAGCCAAGTTGCTAGCTCTGTTCAGGTATTCTGACAGCGGCTGGTGGTGCAGTGGGAGGGGCCCAGAAGGCTCCTCCCACTACAGGCTTTCTGCTGAAAACTACAGGAAGGGGCGAATACAGGACCAGTCACCCTGCACAAGGAGAGAGAGCAGCAGTGACCAGTCTTTATTACAGGAAGCTCCCGCACAGAGGCAATGTTTCTCAATCAGATACTGCACAGATCTGGTAGAAATACACAAAGCTCACCAAGATTTAAGGAAGAATACACATGACTCTTGTACTTAGATAACATTTGCTTATCCTGGAGTTTAGCTTTAAGTCAGTTAAATGGGGTTAATGATGTCACATTTAAAAACAAGTTGCCACATACATTTTCCAACATGTGCCGTGTGATCAAGTCCTCAGAGCAACCTATTGCCTACCTCTTGTCAGACACTTGTCCTTCTCTTTCTCTTCATTATAGGAAACTTAAGCATTTGGATGTATCAGACCTCCCCAATGTTTCCCACAAGGGTTTAACCAGGATACTTCTGGAGGAGGTGCTGCCAGCTTGTGAGATTGTAGGGATGGAGTACTCGGAAAGCCTGGATGGAGAGACCAGCACCCCATCTGAGACCTAGTAATGCACAGGTGAGTGGGAAGTCTACACATCGAAAAAGGGTTTTCTGTGGTGTCTGTACTGTGAGTGTTGTGGTGTCTGTGTCTTCTTATATAGAAGTTGTATTATCGTCATTAAACCTAAACAATAGGCTCCGTGCATTCGATGGTCAAGTTTTCTGATTGTAAGAGACTGTAAGAGGTCTGCGGCTGATTGGCTAACCTCAGACCTCTTGGCTATATTGGCCGGTTGGCAGCAGCAGACGATGATAGAAGTGGCAGGAAGTAGAGGCATCTTTAGCTGTGGGGTTCAGTTGCAGCTGTTGGCGATAGATTTTCTTTCAACACCAGGAGCTTGGCAATGGTAATTTTCAGGGTAGAGCTCCAATTGCTGAGAGCTTTGTCCTACGTTACACACCCTGTGAACCTTCCTGTAAACCTAACACTAGCCCTATCTGTAATCATAACACTACTCCCTTGTATTTCTAACACTAACTGTCCCTGTTATCATACCACTAACCCTCCTTGTAATCCTATGACCACCCCTCTCCCCTCCCCGTATTCCTGACGCCGCCCCTCCCCGTATTCCTGACGCCGCCCCTCCCCGTATTCCTGACGCCGCCCCTCCCTGTAAATCTAAAAACGAACTTGTGTTTTGAAGAAAAACTCTGGGGAAAAATAATCTTAAAGTAAACCTTTACCTCCTTTGACTAAAACTCAGATCAGCATACGGCTCTGAATGCTGAAATAGAATCATCTTACATTTATTAGATAAACAAACATATTTTTATTTTACTTACAATTTCTTTTTTTCCACTTCCTGTCCTCTTTGACACAAATGATGTAATTGTGCCCAAGTGTTGCATCCTGGGAAGGTTACATCAGCAGAGCATTGCTGGGGAATCTCATCTGTAATTTCACGAGATCTCAGTGAAAGGCATTTTCCTCCCCCGAGATGATGTGCATGGTCACATGTTCTGGTCACATGTGCCAGAGTTCCAGGAAGTAAAGGGAAATCTAGTAACTCGCCCGTCGTGAAAATGGTCACCGTCAGAAGACTGGGAAAAAAGGGTATGCAAAGAATACAAAGCCGGCAATTATCTAGAAGTATGTTTTTATAGATTGTCATTACCAAACATTTCTAAAGGTGTCGTTGTTGTTCTTTTAACCCCTTCGTGACGGGAGACGTACAGTGTACGTCCTGTCACTTTGTGCCTATATGACTGGCCACGTACACTGTATGTGACGAGTTATATCAGGCTTTTAAAAAAAATAATAATAATCAAAACTTGTGAAAAAAGTGTTTTCTTCTAGTTTTTTTCCTCATTTTTTTTATTTTATTCAAACTAAGTGAGGGGTTAGGTACACATATGTGATATAATTATATAGCCCTATCTGTCCTCTAAAAAACTATATATAATATGTGTGGGTACATTTAGTAAGAAAGTATATTACTGCTGTGGAAGAATCACACAGCAAAAATGTAAAAAATGTGTCAGTCATTTATGAACAGAACCTGAAAACTAGCTCAGTCATGAAGGGGTTAAAGATCCTCTTTAACCCTTGCAGTGGGGCTACCCCCACACTACAGGGGTTAACTGCTCGTTTTCATCCTGGAGAGAAAATAATAGTTATACTCACCTGAACCTTGGAGCCAGCTGACTGCTACTCCACTCCCTAAAGCCTGTCTCCTCCTCCACTCCAGCAGTGGAATGCCTGTCGGTGTCCTCAAGTCCTATACACTGTATTGGGCGTGATGACTCACGGGACCTTAGAACGGTGGAGCGGAGCGGGAGAGAGGCTGGAAGGACCATTCTAACAGCCAGCTGGCTGTGAAATTCAGGTGAGTATGACTTTATTTTCACTACTAGATGAAAATGAGCAGTTAACCCTTGCTGTGTGAGGGCAGCCCCATTGCAAGGATACAGATCATTTTTCCCTGGAGTTCTTCTTTAAGGTTAAATGGAAAGCTTGTGTAAGCATTAACACTAACCTCCCCTGTAATCCTAATGCTGACTCTATCTCTCCCTTTAATCCTAACACTAGCCTTCTCTTTAACCCCAAATCTAACACTTCTCTGCTGCTCGGACCCTGACACTATTCCCTCTTGCAACCCGAACCCTAACATTATTTTTTTATTAGAACTTTTTCTGCCCCGTATATGATCCCTTTGGCCTCATTGACACTGCTAAGAGCCGGCCCGTACAGAGCTGTGTGGTGTGCTCGGCCGTATCAAACCACTCCGGGGAAGGACAGGTGCAGCGTGTGATTTTTACACACGCTATGGGAGTACGCGGCCGTACGCTCACCCGAACTGCACGTCCGTGTGGGTGTCCGTACTCGTATGCAGATAAGATGGATTCTGTCTGGGTCCGAGCAGGGACACCCGCACGGACGTGCAGTTCGGGTGAATGTACGGCCACGTACTACCATACAGAAGAACAGGCTGCTGTGTTCAAATCACACGCAGAACCTGTCCTTCCCGGGAGCGGCACCATACGGCCGACACTTAGCTGTGTGAATGAGGCCTTTCTGTCATGAAACCTACTATCCCAGTACAAGCTGGTCATCCATTGTCCAAAGCAATAGTCTGTCTCCTGTCTGCTCTTTAGACTGCTAGGGAACCTTATCACATCACCCCCCTTTGCACCAAACAGCCCTCCTTTCCTGTAAGTCCCTCCCAAGTACCTTCTCCACACTCATGAGTTTTTCAAAACAGGAACTTCTGCTGCAAGCCTGATTTGAAACTTCAGCTGCTATAGACAGCTTAGTATAACAAGATCTCGGGAAATTTTGCTACCTGAATGAAACAATTATTAGAAGACAAATAAATATGGGCCGTGTGTATCGCTTAGCCTAGAGTTCGTGTTTAGACATGTTAATGTCATTAGTGCCTTGCGGCCCAGGAGTGGATAGACCTGTTAGCCAATTAGTGTTTTTGGAACACTGGTGGGCCCTCAGAAATGCTTTCTACATCCTCGGATGTCATATTCTAGAAGATATGGCTTTATAACCACGGTGCTGAATAATTTAGTGCTGCTGAGACTCCTGGGTTATTTCACATAATAAAGTTATTCCAGAGAGGAGGGAGGAGAAGAGAAGACGGGAGGGGAGCGAGGCCGCTGCATCTGCTCCTGTAATCATGTAAACAGGAGGAGGTAGCCGGCAGGGAGTGGCAAAGAAGCCCAGTCACTGAGTTGATGTTGGAATTACATCTAGACTGTCCCTGTAAGGTAAGCCGTGCGTGTGAATGAGGAATAGAAAGCATAGTAATGCCATGTTTGTATCTGACTCCGCACTCGCTGCCCGCCACATCAAGCAGCCAATACGTTCAGCTTCTTATCCGGAGGGAATTAGCTGCCTCAGCGGGCACATTAATGCTAACGACCAAAGCAAGCAACCCTTTTCTTTTCTCTTCACGGCATTTAAATGTGTGGTACCGCAGTCCGTTTTACTGGGGCATCTGCCACGGAGCTCTTCCCAGGAGATGTGCCAGGACAGGACAGCATTCAAAAAGCATTCTTTTGTTGTCACCGTGAATTGTTTTGTATGACAAGAGACATTGATTGCACTGGAGATGACTTGCAGTTGCCTGAAGTAAGGCAGCGGATAGATTTCAATGCACAGATTTATTTTTTATTTTTTTATTTTTCAAACTTTTCTATAGAGTCGAAAGGCTGGAAGGTGTCAGGTTGGATCGGTGATTGGGACTGCTCAGGGGGTGCTGATTGGTCGGGGACCCCAGGATGGGAAGATGCCTGTCGATCATTAGCTGGGTGGGTGTGAGGACGCATTTTCAGGCTTCTTTTAGTAATCTCTTTGGATCAATAAATAGGAACTATACCCATATCTTCATAATAACAACAAAGACACCTTTAGAAATGTTTAGTATTGACGATCTACAAACACATACTTCTAGATGATTTCCGGCTTTGTATTCTTAATTTTATTTTTATTTTCTTCCACAGTCTTCTGACAGTGGCCATTATTTACTAAAGGCAGGTTATTAGATTTCCCTTTTACTTCCTGGAACTCTGGCACACGTGACTAGGACATGTGACCATACACATCATCTCAAGGGAGGAAAAAGCCTTTCCCTGAGATCTCGTGAAATTATAGATGAGATTTCCCAGCAATGCTCTGTTGATGTAAACTTCCCATGATGCAACGCTTGGGCACGAATACATCATTTGTGCCAAAGTGGACCAGGAAGTGGAAAAAAATAAATTGTAAGTAAAATAGAAATATGTTTGTTTAATGAATGTAAGATGATTTCATATCGGGCATGCAGAGTTGTATGCTGATATGATTTTTAGCCAAAGGGGGTGAAGGTCCGCTTTAAGTCACTCAGACTGAATCAAACTGAGATTTTAGTTTTTTGGGGTCCATTCATCCGATAAGCCAAACTCTTCACTGCTCCAAGACCAGGTCTCCACTAGTGCACACAGTCAAGCTGGCCATATATTATGGTCGGGAATTTATCTAAATTGGAGCAGATGCCCATGGCAACCAATCAGCTTCTATCTCCAGTTTGTTTGTTTAAGCTTTATAAATGAAAGAGAGCGTGCAGGGTATTCCCAGCTTTATTGACTGCAGTCACTGTCTGGCTGAGAATTTTCAGATCACATCTTGGATATGATGACAGCAGCCCCAGCAGTCTGAGAGCTGACACTCAAGAGACACTTTATAGCAGGGATAGTCAACCTCCATAATCCAGCGGAAACTACAAATCCCGTCATGCCTCTGGGAGTCATGCCTGTGGCTTTTGGTCTTGCAATGCCTCATGGGACTTGTAGTTCCACAACAGCTGGAGTGCCAAGGTTGCCTACCCATGCTGCATAATATTTCCTTTCAACCCTCCCCCAACTGCTACATAAAAGGTTATGAGGGAAGGGACGGAGGAATCCGCAATTTTGTATTTTGTTGACATGGTCTCTTTAAGAGAGAAACAGAAAAACCTCTTCTTAAAATCTGAAGCCAGTTATGTTTTATTGTCTGCATTGGAGAGTTTCCCCAGAGATGC